CCACGGATTTCTCAGGTATTTCAGGTTCCAAAATTTGTTTTCGACATGAAAGGCGTTTGTTTATGTCTGCCTTGCGCCATGCGACGGATACTTTACGAGTAGTACTCGAATTATTTTCAAGGCGTTCCGCTCTGACTGAAGACTCGCCGCCGGACGCAACACCGGCATCATCAATTTGTTGTGGAGCGTAACGCCACTTTGACTGCTGCTATGGAGGTTTGGAGACACAATCACGTTTCAGAACCGTGGCACATTGAAGCCACGCCTTCGGTGTTTGATGTTTCAAACAGGCGATTATTTTGATGCGTCGTGTCAGTCCCCACCCACCTGAACAGGAAGTTTTGACGACGCCCTGCAAGCGATAGTCATTTCCGTGCTGCATCTTGGAATTTTTGCTTTAGTTTACTCAACTTCGTTAAATGAAGAGCCCTCTTGAAGTTTTTTCCTCAACGCTTTGCGCTCCGGCCCTTGTTGTCACTCTGCGATTGGCGACGACTACCACGAGACTCTCTGGAACTGACGTGTGAGGCGTCTTTGATTCGTGATCTTATTACATGTTGCGGTTTTGCTGCAAGGTTTACATGCATCGCTAGTTATTCTCTGATCGGGACAGGAAACCTTTTCAATTTATAATATTCAGTTTGTCTTACTGCTACAGCTATTAGGTTTCGATCTATTAAAACGAGGGATAACTGGTTTCCTGTCTCAGGTGATTTTGCCTTGGTCTATCACCACGTGTAGAGGAACGTAAGAGACATTACACGATCAATGATGACTGTGTTTCGGTAGATACTGAAGAACAAAAACACACATTCCTCAATTGCGGCACTTAAGTTAGGTAGTGCCGCACTACGGACTTCCTGAGGCAAAGCTTCAGAATGCCCGGTAGTGAGGAAGTATAACAAACAGAATTATACATGGTTCGCTGTAATCCAAGTCGAACGATTAGGCGATTGGATAACTGTGACTCACAGCCGTTTTGCGGACCAAGGTATCTAATATGTCTATCATTCATTTCAAGCTTATTATATCGATTTAAGTTACCTATCAGTTTGAATTATCCAGTTCAATTTCAACCAAGCTCAAACATGATTCTCTGCTATGATGGAAGTATGCCTGACACTTCGCCATACTTCCGTTCGGCTAACTATGAAGTAAGCCTTCAAACGCGCGGAATTATGTTTATGTCCCATTTCCAACATGGCAATACCTCATGTCAACATCATTAACTTTTTCTCTATGGCGCAAGGCTTGTTTCCGTCATTGGCTATTACCTTAACGGATGCGGGAATCAGCCTCATACTTTGCCGCGGGTCGCGGTTCGCACTTTGATCAGTTCCGAAATTTCGAGCGGTACACTTGAGTTTTGCTTGGCAAAGATCCACTGTCATCTTAATGACTTTTATTTTGCTTCATGTTATCTTATTGTCAAATTTCAGACTAATCAGAGACGATCTCTTTACTGTTAAGAAAACAGTCTTTGTGATGATGCTTGGTAAATTGGGAGAACTGATAGTCTGTTTAATAAACATACGGGTGGTACTGGTAGGAAACGTTGAAAAACTCATTTTTATGAGTGTCAATAGTATCGCTTAAAACGGGAGATAGGTCTCTAAAATAATTTCCTAGATTAACTAAATTCATCTAATTTAAATTGAAGTTTGTCAATTTTATTATCATTAAATAATCATTTTTCTTTGAAATAGTTTAGTGCAAAATGCAGAGAAGGAATGGAAAATATAAAGTTTCCGTAACCGCTTGAATTATTGCATTTCCTCACACTTACATAATGCGGTCGATTCCGATACTCTTGTTTTTATGAAGTTAATGGTGAGAACGTTGATCTCTATCAGTCAGGAATGTCTCATTCATTTTAACGTCAGAACAGACAGCTTTTATGTAATCAGCATTGTCTGCATTCTCCTTTTGCCTTAGACTGGAGAAAGGCGAGTGACCTCAACCGAGGCTTAAACTCAGGATCTCTTGGGTTTTGAGTCAGACGCTCTACAGACCGCGTAATTCAGATCAGAAGCAAGTTGTGGCAAATTTGTGACATTCACGGAAATTCATAGTAAAGATAGGGAATGCCTCCCTCCTCTGGGAGTCGACTTCGACTTTTCCGAATTTCGGATTTACGGCCCACCTTTTACGCACTGTTCCAGAATACTATCCCACAGAATCAGGTAGTATGCGGCAGCTGTTGAATCTGGGGCAAGGTCTTTAACTGTGATGCTTATTTGCGGAGCCTTGAATAGTATCGGAATCCCAGTTGGTGTGATAGAAGGACATATTACACTCAATTTACGACCTCATTGTATAACGTGTTCTTTTTGACTCTGTGTTGGCACAATTTTCTTCCTCAGCTCCGTTGAAACGCGCCACACACTCTCTTTTATGCTTTTGAGCTTTCATGCGGTTTTTCCAATGAAACTGTCTTCACGAGTGCATCATCATCATGTGTACGTAGTGGCCGTTATGCCTGTGCCAACCAAGAACATTTCTTCCTGGCGATGCCTCGGAGACGTCGGTTGTTTGTGGAAACTGGTATCAGGATTGACTTGCCTAGAGGTTTCTCGGGCGACCGTTTCCGCAGCACCATGAGTAAAGCGAACGACCTCTGTCCGTGGCTTGCTTGGAGATGAGCATGGATCGAAACACGGGGTTTCACCGCCCAGTTTCTGAGAAGAGACTGTAAAGTCGGATCAGATACAATTCCACGATATACATTGCAACTCTCTTTCGTTTCGAGGCAATGCTCTTTTTGTATGAAAAGTAGCCCGGTTTGTTTGCAAATTTGCCTGTTCGCGTCCCATCTTTACCTCATGTCTAAACAGCAGTTGTTTGATTCCTTCGCAGAGATACTTTTGGCAAGAAATGACTAAAAGAGAGGCTTCTGAATTATTCTGTGGGGTGGAGGTAGAGACTGTTGCGCAAGAGCCGTTCGAAGCTTACAATCAACTTCGCTGAACTCCTCCAACAACGAAAAAACATTGTTTAAAAAAAACGCGTGTGACAGGGAGAGCAATTTGAGGTCTCCCAGATGAGGAACAAACGAACGATATGAGCTACGAATGCAAGATCAAAGCAAAGTTGTGAGAAGCTTAAGCATTGGCTATCTTTGATTTGTAGTAGGGAACAGCTGGCGGTTTGGGGATGGGGGGGGGGGCAGTTCGAAATGGACGGTGTCATCGTCGTGCGTCGTCGATCTTTCGCAGAGATGAACAACCGCAGTGTCCGTCACGCTGGCCGGTTCTCTCCGTCCGTCCACGTGTACACGCGCCACTGGTCGTCACCTAGTTACCGATTTCCGGCCGGGGTGTCCGTCAGCGATGCAGATCCGGTTTCGTCTGGCAATGTCATGGCCGATACACACACGCACGTAGCCACGTCGCCATTCTCATGTCGCGTGCACCGGATGTCTGCTGGCATCTCTTTGCCGGTTGTTGGTTGTGCATTTGAAGGGTAACGAGTCTTCAGTCATCACCTCGTCACTCGGTCGGTGACCATCCACCTTCGTCGATACTCGACCACTCACGCGGTCCGCCCTCATCACGAATTACCCATTTTCGGTCCTGCCGTCAGGCATGAAAGTAATTTTTGACTTCTGTTTTGTCGTTTCGCTTTTAATAACGTAATAACATGGCGTCGGCTTCTGACGGTCTCTTTCTCTGCGACAGGATTTACTCCATATCCACATGGACCTGCGCTAGCTCCCAAACGCCAAGCGCAGTCGCAAGGGTGAATTAGAGGACCGATATTCATAAAATCTCTGTTCCCAGATCTCGCGACTGAAACTCACGCCAAACAGAAATGACCTATTTGCACTCGTACCTCAATAAAGCGTATTACGCGTCGCAGAGACGGGAAAGTACCGAAACTGTTCTTATGAAAGTCATTTCCAAATCAGTTTTTCGACCAGCTACTCACCGTAAATTATGATCAACTGACGACAAGCTGAGTACTTCATTTGAGACTACTAAGATAAACTACCCCCTCCCTCTCCTGAAAGAAAATGGTATTCAGCCTCTATCACACCGTAGGTCACTGCGATTTCATGAATCATAATTTTAAATTCTTCTATTATGCTGACTTCTATTCATATGCTTTATTTCAATATACCTTTTTAAAGTTGAAAGTTATCACTCGAACACAAAGCATCCTACATTTTCTTCGCTATCCTCCACTAGGGATTTTGCGTAATCGAGAGTCTTCAGTTACCACACGTTAAAAAAGACCTCTGGTCTCGGCTACCATGCGTCATCGGCGATTTCAGGGTTGAGGTTCATAGCAGAATTCATGCTG